AAAATACAGCCAGAGTTGCGTGAATTAGTGAACAACTATAAGCCGGATATAATCTGGTCGGACGGTAATGGAGGCGGAGATCCCAAGTACTGGAAGAGTGAGGAGTTCTTGGCCTGGCTTTACACCGATAGGTAGACCCCCTAAGAGATAGTAAAATGAGTTATTTATTTAATTTTGTTGCGCTTTTAGTCCCGTTAAGGATACTGTTGTTGTGAATGACAGATGGGGTCTGTATTTCACTAATAGTTTTCCTTAAGATATAGTTTTAATTTTAAATCAAATTTAAGGGGAGGGCTCCGATGGACATCATGGAGACTTCTATAACTTTGCCGACAGTTTTAACCCGGGTGTTTTAGTGCCACACAAATGGGAACACATTGATACCATTAGTAAAGGTGCGTGGGGTTACAAACGTAATGTCAATCTATGGGACTATTTAACACCATTGGAAATGCTCAGACAATTGGTCATGGCTATTAGGTACTGTATTTTAATTGAGAAATGTAGCATTATTAGCACTGGTAGCAATTAATTGAATATATTTAGTTGCGGCGGAAACATGATGTTCAATATCGGGCCCACAAAGGAGGGCACCATTACTCCCATTTTCGAGGAACGGTTGAGACAACTGGGAGATTGGCTTAATGTGAACGGAGAGGCTATATATAAGAGCAAACCCTGGACTCATCAAAACGATACGCTAACTAAAGATGTTTGGTTTGTATTCATACTAACCTTTTTAAAACTTTATGATAACATCTAATTTTCCAATAGGTATACCCAAAATGGCCAGGCTGTTTACGCAATGGTATTGTTTTGGCCCAAAACTAATGAGGTGGAATTGGGATCAGTTGCACACACCTCAGTCAGTAATGTGCAAATGTTGGGAGTGGAGGGAAATCTGGAGCATAAGGCAGGTGCTGACGACCATACAATTGTTACCTTTCCTCACGTCGCTCCTGAAAGCCTGAAAACGGTTTATGTTTTGAAAATTACTACAAAATAAATTCATATTTTATTTCCACATTATAATTTGTTAATAATTATTGTACAATATTTTGATTTAACTAAATAAATATTTGAGCAATTATTAAATGCTTTATATATTTTGTTTATTGAAATAGTAAATAATATTTTAACTGTTAAAAATCGCTGATTATAATATTGTAAAATTTTACATAAATTAGTTAAAAGTACTGTACAATAGAAATTGTATATATTGTATCTAGCTCACATATTGGGTGTTATCTTATTATCAAACTATGCCAAATATAATCCCGTGTGGGGTATGTACTCAAATAATGTTATAACAATATTCACTCAACTGTATTTTAAAATGTTTTGTTGGCAACTACTTTTTCAGTAAATCGTGTATATAACTATCTTGTACAAGTACTAGATAAAATGTACTAGTATTTTTTAATGGAAACTCTGAAACCAACATATGAATTGATATCATAAATATTAAAACTTATTGTTTATTTTATCATAAACATATTAAAAATATATTTAATCAATTCTGTTACCAATGTTTTAATTTTACTACTATTAAGTTACTGAGCTAGTAATCAAGTGATAGTTTGTCTAAGTTGCCAACTTAATAACCCTGATTCCCTTTATTATAACCCTGATAATATTTCTGGAAACTGTTACAGTATTCCCTTTTATATCTTCAATTCTAGGCATATGTTTAGGAAATTCGTGATTATTTCTCAGAAACCTTTTACTTATACTTATATAAAATGCTTAAATTTTGATCAACTTTTATTATTAGTTTAAAACTAATCGTGATTTCTATTAAGAGTTTGATTTTTGTGTCGGCAATACTTGTGACATATGTATTGAGTGCACCCAATGCTACGAAACCCGGTGCCAGATATGATCCTAAATGGGATTCACTGGACAAGCGTCCCATTCCGGGCTGGTATGACGAGGCAAAGGTCGGTATTTTCATACATTGGGGCGTTTTCTCTGTGCCCTCTTATATGGACGAGTGGTTTTGGTTTGTATTAATTATTTTTCATTTACATCCTGGTCATTTTGTAATACTTACTGTTGTTTCAAACGTATATGAGCTCAGGTGGCACTGGAAGGCCTATAAGAAAGAAGAGATAGTTCAGGCTGTGGTAGACTTCATGAAAGCCAATTACCCGCCCAACTGGACGTATCAGGACTTTGCCAATCAATTCACGGCTGAATTCTTTGACCCAAACCATTGGGCGGATGTCTTCAAGTAATGCAAAAAACAATGAGTAGAATACAAAAAATTGT